CCTGGGCTTGCCTTGCCACACAATTATACCAGTGCAAAAATGGTACAGGCATCGAAAGCTCTCAATTAATAACTGTGGATGTGCATCTAGAACACTAAGTTAAGAGCACGCAATAAGCTAATATGCGATATGCAATAAGCTTGAAATGCGAAGAAGAAGAAGGGGTTGGTTACCCGATCTTCCCTAAGGTTACTCGTTCGTACTCCAGCCGGCGCCGCGGGGAGGAAGAGATAGGAGTTACTGGAATTTGTTTGTACGAGATACAAAAAAAAGGGCTAAGCTCTGAACATAATGGCAATGCCATAGTTTCGAAAATTTATCAAGCCCAAGATCGCGATAAATTTCCTGAATGATTTTGGTGATAATCCTAAACTATTTCTAAGACTCGGGCACGAGATTTTTTGTTAACTTCGCAATCTCAGTTTTTCAATGTCCGATTTTTGAACCTTGAAAATGTGTCATGTCACAAAATCTAGAAATTGTATTCATGTCTGGAATATTAAATTTACGTTCGATGTATAGAGGGCTTGTCAATGTTTGGATTTCACTCATCTTATTACTACGCTTTCAGACTATCGCTCTATCTCACTGTTCAGAAATGTCAAGCCTCATTATCTTGAACATGTTTAAACCAGTATTTTGAAATTTGTTCTCAAGTCGCAGAATCTTGAATTTCTGTGTAGGTACAGGATCTGGAAAAAAAATCAATGCATTATTTAACTAAAATTAACTCAAGAATTTCCTTAGAATCATTCCAAAATGTACTTTCAGGACAATACAGAGGTACTTTCAGGAGTCCCTCAATAATCGTAATATTCTCTCTGTTCTTCTCTGGAAATTTTCTTGTATAACAATCTTGGAATCCTGTGCGTCCAGAAAACTCTTGAAATTCACTCCATTTATCTTCTAATTTTATTCTTTAAAATTCTCGTCCTAATTTGGTTTAATTTCTCTAAATATTTTTAAAGCTTTTTTTTATTATTCCTCAGAAATTTTCCTCAAATACACAATACTACAATACCCTTAATAAAATGTCTTGGATTTTGTTTAATGCTCCTGAAAATTTCCCTGGAATGTCTTTGAAAATTTGTTCAGCTAATCAGAATTTCTTCGGAAAAATGCTGAAAATTCCCTGTGAATTTATTTCCTGTGATGTATTTCCTCAAATCCACAGACAAAAGAGTGCTAGAACTATTCCACAGCCGCAGACAGTATATGAGTATGTCAAACGTGCACTCTTTTGCCTGTGGATTTGAGGAAATACCTCAAATCCCCTCACCCATCAAAGTGTGAGTTAGGTAAAGGAGTGCGCATTTGATTAGTACTGCAGAGCTGGTAGCGAGTCACTTTTTAGTGACGTGGTCACTTTTTTCAAGCCAGTCACCAAAAAGTTTTTTTTTACACCAGGTCACTAAAGTCACTTTTTCTTGTGGTAAGTCACTATTTAAAAAAAAAATTTACCGTGAATTTATTTCAAGATTGATCATTCTTCTGATTAGGCCTACATTTTGTTCTATTTTTGAACAATTCTAAGTTGACGACCTTGTATAGTTTTTTTACGTTTAATCGTTCTTCTCTATCTACAGGGTGTCCACTCATTTGGCTAAATAAAGTTCCCTGAGTTTTCCAGGTTTTTCCATAACTTTGGCGGATAATTTCCAGGTTTATAATAAGAATGCTATTTATGAATTGTGTTAAAAATATGTTTTTAACGAAAACGCTCTTAAGACATGACAATCAGTTTTAAAGAAACAGCTTTACTATCAAATCCATTAAATGTTGAAGTTGAACACTTACTTCATTTTAGTAAGTCTAAGATAACAACATTTTTAATGCCTTGACGTTTCGTACTAGCAAAAATGTGGAAACTTTAATGAAGTTCTATTGATCTTAGAAAAGCTAGATCTAGAGATCTTTGGGGAATTCCAGAGATTTTAAGGGGAAGTCCCCGAAAAGTTAAGAATCTTTAAGGGTGAGTTTAGACAAATTCACGATAGTTCCATGATGTGCTGAAATAAAATCGAGAACCCTCAAGATGTTCCGAAAGATTCATTACAGAGACCTTCAGAAAATTTATGAAAACTTCATAAATATTTCAGGAACTTCACAGAAATCCAGAGAATTCCAGGGATGTTTAAAGGTGTTTACGAGAATTCCATTTATTTTAAAGCAGAACCGAGATCTTCATTAGAGTTGAGAGTTTTAGGGAAGCTCCGAGAACATCAAGACAGATCAGAGAATTAAAGGGTAGTTCTAAAAAATTCAAGGAAATTGCAGAAACCGTAATTTCCGGAAACTTCGGATTGCTCAGAGAAAATTTCTGGAACGCAATAAAAATTATAGGAACATCCGGAGGAGTATTTCAAGCGTGTTATTTAATCGAAATTTCAAGATCTACAAAAATTCGAAAATTTAGTTAAGTTGATTTGAGAACATCAACGAGGTTCCATTAATAAAAAAGAGGAGAACTTTTAGCAAGCACCGATATTCTCAAGAAATTCCAGAGAACTTCTAAGAAATTTATTTATTTTTTGATTGATTCATTATATTCAGTGAAGTTCCGAGTACTTCGAGGACGATCAGATAACATCAGAAAAATCACATTAACTTAAGGAAATTTACAGCGACTTACAAGGAGTTCCTTAGAATTATGGAATATTCCGATAATTATATGATTGATCCGAAAACTTAAGAAGCTTCAGGGAATTTTAAATATATATCAGAAAACTTACCGGAACATTTGTCATTTTAGAGATGTTAAGGTAAGCATAGAAAACTTCTGGGATGTCCAGGCTTTCCAGGGAAAATTAGTGATTTAAGGCAAAGTTCCGTGTGCGTTTTAAACTTTATAAAACTTAAAGGCAATTAAATCAATTTCAGTAAAATGGTGGGTTCTTTAAAAAAAATACTAAGATAATCAGGGCAGTCTACAGAATTTTAAGGAAATTGAGAAATATTTTGGGCAGTTTTAGAAACAGTTATGAATTAGTTTCAATAATTTGAACTTCAGACAAATCTTGCGAACTTCAGTGAAAATCATACAACTATTTTGATTATTTAGCTGCGGAAACTTAGAAAAGTTCCTGAAATTTCAGAATATCTCCGAAAGCTTCATAGAAGTACAGAGATCTACAGACAATTTTTGAGAACTTCATAAAAGCCTATGGAACTTAAAGGAAGATCCGAGAACTTCAGGAACTTTTATGGACATTTCGGGAGCATCTCAATTTTTTTTAGTAAAGCTCAAAAACAAAGGGGACTTCAGGGGAGTTCAGTTCCATTAGTTTCACTAAATTAGCGGGAAATTTCAAGAAGTTCCCAGATTTTCAGAGAACTTTAGGGATGTTATGTTCACGCAAGCTTAAACATTTTTAGAACAGTTCAATTAAATTCATGGTTGTACAACAAGCTTCATGAAAACTGCAAACACTTAAGATAAGTTTTGAGAGCTTCGAGAAAGATATTGATCTCGCTAATAAAGCTCTAAACAAAAACAAAACGTCAAAAAACAACATATATCCTCAGAGCAGGGAAATTACATAAATTTTTAAAAAGGTTCGAGAAATTCAGTGATTTTTTACATGTTAGAGAAGATTCATGATCGTTAGGAAAATTGGGGAAATTTTAGGAAGTCCGAAAAAGTTTAGAGAAGTTTGAAAAATGATGAGTATTGCGAGCATCAGGCTAGTTTCTCAAACTACAAAAGAACTTCAAGGTAATTTAATTAACATCAGGAATATTTTGAGAACTTTCACGTAGTTCTGAAGACCTCAGAATAGTCCATTCCATATTCAACGGAGATTTATCATAAAAATTCGTTTGGAGTTTACTATCTTAGGTTTAGGCTTCACATGCCTCTGAATTTTAAAATTCTATTTGTTACTGAAGATTAATCCATTCTGGATCTATAAAGTACAATGTGTGAATGAAAATAACTAGGAATATTAAATGTATTCTTAGTAAGAAAATTATTGAAAGTAAAATTCCCTGAGAATTCCCGGTTTTTCGACAAATTTTCTCCCCTAGGTCACTTTTGAGTCTTTTTTTTTACAACTTTAAGTCACTATTAGGTCACTTATATCTTCAACATGGTCACTAAAATCACTATTTTGACAGCATTGATCGCTACCAGCCCTGGTATTTTCGCATTAATGGCACACTGCCGTACTCTAACGGAACTATCAATCTATCCTCTTCAGAACTTTCTCTAGCTACTAAATTATCGCAATAAAACTTCATGTTGATATTAGTATAGCATTCAAAACACTTTGATTACACAAAAGAGCATGCTGTGGCTAATTGCTGAGTCACTTTCGAACAGGAAGATTGATAACTGACAGTAGGACAAGTGGATAATTTTTTTTTTCATACTGTATATAGCTTTGAATTAATCTACAATACCCTCAATCCTTGAATGAATGCGACGATCATAACAGCGACACGAACCCTAATATAATAAATTCTGTCTGCATCTATTTCTAAAATAAATGTACATTTATTTCACTGATAAAGGCACGAAAATAACGAAATTATTCATTCACCTCATGACTTCATCATCTTCATCAAACAAGTTGCCGTCTCTGATCTCCTCGGAAGGAACTGAGTTAAGTGTATCGTAATAAGCCAAAACGTGTCATCTCGCGTAGCTCGACAATAAAAACAACTTTTCACAATAAATTTAGTGTTTTCACTTGCCGCTTCCCCCTGCAACGAGCGACTTTATTATTACCGCTTGTATCGCATCATCACTTTCGGTCGAAGAAACGCTACCATCCTGCGTGCGTATCGCGGTAGCAAAATCACGATTTATTACCCTCTTGTCTAGGAAAGCGTAAATCCGAGCACAATCCCGCCCGGCCAGGCTTGCCAAAATCATCGCAATCGTCATAAATATCAAAGCGGACATTTAGGATCTAGTAGTTGCCCCACCCCCTGATCCACCTCGTTCACCTTAGGACCATTCATACTAATTTTGGCTTTCTGTTTTTCGCTTTTTGCAGCTCTTACAAAATCTCGGCAAAGTGGACCGAACCGGAGACGAGATCTTCGACGAGCACCTGAGCAACTTCAACAGACAGCAGAACAGTGCCACCAGACTACAGAAAGAGTTCAACAACTACATCCGATGTGTGCGAGGTTAGTTGGACTGCGTTTGGTTTGTGGATGAAACAGGCATGACATTAATAATCTTCCCCCTTCCACAGCCGTTCAGACCGCATCGAAGAGCCTAATGGAAGCCATAAGCGAAGTCTACGAAAGCCAGTGGACCGGATCGGAAGCACTGTACGCTCAGACCAACACCGTCGAGGTGCTGTTCCAGGACTTTTCGCACAAACTCGGTGATCAGGTGCTGATACCGCTCAACACCTACACCTCCCAGTTTCCGGAGATGAGGGTAGGCTACCTCGCTGATTCGCTCGAATTCGACAACCACTGACTTGCGAATTTATTTTACAGAAAAAGATCGACAAACGTGGTCGCAAGCTGGTAGACTACGACAGCCAGAGGCACTCCTTCCAGGGCCTGCAATCAAATGCCGCCAAACGCAAGGATGACGTCAAGGTTGGTGCCCTATTTCACGCTGTTGAAAAATGTCAGAAAGTAAATTTATCTCCTCTTCCAGATCACAAAGGGCCGCGAACAGCTGGAGGAAGCCAAGCGCACCTACGAAGTGCTAAACACTGAACTGCACGACGAACTGCCGGCGCTGCACGATTCCAGAATACTGTTCCTGGTGACGAACCTGCAGACCCTGTTCGCTTCCGAGCAGCAGTTCCACAGCGAAACGGCCAAGGTGTATGCCGAGCTGGAAGCGATCGTCGACAAATTGGCCACCGAATCGCAGCGAGGCTCATACACGCTCAAGAAGATCACCGGTAAGTGCCCGGGGTGGGGTCTTTCGAGCATTGGAAATCATTGACGAACCATGCACCTCCATAAATCTAAGCTAAAACTGACGTGTTTGCCGCGAAAGCGTCTAACGAACGCCATAGATTAGTCAAGTTTATTCCCCTTCTCAAGCTGATTGCTGCCGCCCCGTTACAATCAACTCGGTGAAACCTGCATGTGAATCTTTAAACAAACATCCATATCACGCTGAAAGTTTAATCGCTTGCAAGATAAACAACATATCTTTCCTTCAAAATGTGTGTAGAAAGAACGCCTGTCGCGTTTAAATTTTTCATCAGCATCTCCCCCCCCCCCCCAGCACCAATAAATCTAGAACGCAGAGGTCGCCCGATAAAACTTGGTATTTACCGACCGGCGACGCGTTGCATATTTTCTCGTTCTGAATTTTCATGGCAGATTGTGCCCCACCCCAACAAACAGTGTTGCATTTTTAAAGGATTATTATTTTCCCGGTGCTCTTTGCTAACATGACCATGAAAAGAAAAGGCAGTAAACATTTCAAGTCGAATGAGAAAGGGAGGAAAATGTTGCCTTTCTTTGCACCAACCTTCATAAAGAGAAAACTTTTTGGGATACTTGCTGGCTCGGGCACAGTGGGCTTGGTGCTTTAATCAAGAACGGATTATCCTAGCACTATTTGTGGTGACATCCTTTCTGACCCTTCTTACTAATTTTAATTCCGATGAGCTGCAATGATGGAGGTAAAGTTTTCAATAATCTTGAAATTGGTTTTTCATTAAATGAGATTTTGAGTCGTTTTCTAGTGGCAAGGCATGTTCTCATTGGATAAAATGATCCGGTCGTATCTCTGGAGCCAGTGGACTGGAGTATGTACTCCTAGGGCAACAGCAAGGACCAGAGTTAAAACAGCTGTTACACCGAAAGCTACCAGCAGTTAATCCCTAGATGAACTACAGTCACCCCAGTGCTATGGGAAACCTACAATTATGGGCCACTTCCATTTGATTAACACGAAGAACCGACTAGCCCATAATAGTGACTAGATTGGCCATAATACTGGGGTGACTGCAATGCTTGGGAAAACCTAAATTGACGGAGATCTCAAAACGAAATATGAGTTCTTTAGGAATTAAAACATAATAAAAAAAACTCACCCGCGCACAGAATAAAGCAGGCAGTTAAGCAGCTCCAGGTCAAATTACGAAAAAATAAACGAATTTTAGATTTTACACGCTCATTCAATTTTACTCAAAAGTGGAACTACTCTATGGTGAGTATACACATAGTTACTCACTTTTGAGTAATAGATGCATCTGTCAAACTTAGAGTAACTTCTACTCAGTTCTGGCTTTAAGAAAAAAATAGCGGAATTGAGAAAATAATACTCAGTTCTTGTATAAATGGTCAGTTTATAAAATGAGTACATTGAATTGTCATTGAAAGAATGCGGGGAAAAAACAGCATAGTTATCACAAGACAATAACAATAAAGTTACATTGCATTTATTTGAGAATTTTATAGAAGAACATGTGGTGTACATTAGCCTTCTCGACAACGTGAGATGTTTTGTACTCCTGAAATTAAATTTAATTCGATCTATCTTGTCGGCATTCGGCTAATTTTTCAAAATGGCGTATTCGATGTTTTTCCATAAATCATTTCATAGCTCTAAAACGGCTCATCTAATTGAAATGACGTCTGATACAAAGTTGAAACTGGATTGCTTTTTCAGAAAAAAAAACACACGGGAAAAAATTATCACAAATTTTCAATAAAAAAATGTCTTATGCTTGATACTCCTTCGACTAGTGTCTCCATTTTCATGTGTTTGGCTACCCAGGAATCGATAAACAGCTGATGGCTCATCCCGGTAATTCCCGGGCATCGGGAAATACTTTTATCCAGTGACCAAATAGGTTCATCAGAATCGAAGACAACATATCAAGAAGACTGGCAACTCTTCCATTTTCTCATACGAACGCTATGAAACAGGTACAATCGCGTCATCTGCCGCTCAAAGGCAAATGCTTCGAACGAATGTGATAGCAAAGATTACATCCTCAGAAGAAAGGTTTGTGTATTTGCTCATGTTTCTATGCGTTGCTTCCACCTTCACTCAAGAGCAGCGCAACTGTCTCTGTCGTTTGGATTCTGGCAAAGTTGCAAGTCTTCTTGATATGATGTCTTTGTCAGAATGCTATTTTTTTTTAACTTCCTGAAGTTTATTCAATTTCTCCGTGGATTTGGTTTAGACAGATTTTTCCCATTAAAGTTTATTCCAGCTTTTTCCTGGAATTTTCTGTATATTACCCCGTAAGCTTCTTCCGGCTTTTCCTACAAATTTGTCCAACTTCCCCCGGAATATTGTGCTAACTTTCTTTGGAAAATTCTTCAGATTTCCACCGGAAATTTCTTTCAACATCTCACAGAAATCTCTTTCTACCGGAATTTTATTTCCAACTTCTTCACGAATGTTCTTTATATTATCCCGTAAACCCTCTGGCTTTCGCCGGAAGAAGCTTCCGACTTTCTCCAGAAGTTTATTCAAACCTACCTCCTTAAGAAGTCCCCATGAAGTTTCTTTCGTCTTCTCCAGGAAGTTCCTTTAAAACTTCTACCGGAAGCTTCTATATAATTCTCCCAAAAGTCTATTTTACCTTCTTCTGGACGTTTCTCCATAAACTTCCTCCGGAGATTTAATCCGACGTCTATTGGAAGGTTTCTTCTGGCTTCCCCTGGAAATTTTCATCCGATTTCGGAAACCTTTCGCTTCTTCTGATACATCCCATCCGATTTTGTCCGAAAGATTCTTTAAACTTTCGCCAAGAGTTTCTCAATATGTTTCATGGAAGTTCCCCGGATGTTTTTCTGGCTTCACTTAGAACTTTCTTCAAACTTCCTCCAGAAGAGTTTCTTTCTTCTTTCTCTGGAAGATTGTTTGGCTTCCTTCAGAAGCTAATTCAATCATTCCCCGGAAATTCCTTTCGACTTGCCCTCGAGAGAACATTTCCCGTGCTTAGTCCTAAGGTTTAAATTTTCGCCTTGAGAAGCGACAAAAATATAGAATTAGTTAAAACTTTAAATAGGGAAAATGACGGCTTCGGCATGACAGACTATTTTCGGCAACCCAAATTAAAAAGCTAATTTCTCTGAATTTTCTTACGAGAACATTTCGTTGGATGCATTCTTAAGGCTTTCAGCTTCAATTTGATTATATTTTTACAACTGAGAAAAGCAATCTACCGTGCCAGCACCATATTTGACGCGTCCCTAATGATGACGCACTCGTCTAATCTTTATCGCATCTCGATTTTGACAAGATATTTTTTTTTAAACGTTGTTACATCAATATCCCTAGAGCTCAGGAACTAATACTTGCAGAAGTAACATTTCAAAAATAATTATTGAAAATAGTCAAACATTATTGAGTGCGTCGATTTAGAAACCGCTTCGAATATGGTGCCTCCACGGTAGCAAGGTTTTCTTGAAATAAAGCACACGCACTACAAAATGCTGCTGATTTCGAGTTGCCGATGAAAGTACAGCTGTTTAACACGCAGCTCAAATAGGAAGGTTGCCGAATAAAAAGATGTTGCCCACAATAGTCGCTCTCACAAGAGAAAATTGGAGTTTTTTCAAAAGCCTTTCAAAACAGTGTTTGGCAATTCTTTCGACTGAAAATGTTAGAGCAGCTGGCAGCAAAAGATAGTAAACAAACCAATACTGCATATGTGTGCGTTCCTTAGAGAAAAAGGCTATAGAAAGATGATCGCTGCTTAGGTTGCCGAGAATACGTAAATTCCCCTACAAATAAAAACCGTTTTTTAAACCTTTGATACCGATCAGCTCGAAAACAATCTCTGGCTCTTCTATCTTTGCTCTAGTGTAACGCCACTTTTTTGTCACTGCGATTCAGAAAGAGTTGACAGTCTCAGGGTCAGGGCTGGTAGCGAGTCACTTTTTAGCGACTTAGTCACTATTTTCAAGCCAGTCACTAAAAAGTCTCCTTTTTTAAGGCCAAGTCACTAAAGTCACTTTTTCTTGTAATCAGTCACTATTTTCCACTTTTTTAGCGTGAATTTATCATTGTTTGCTTTGTGACGTTTAATCGTCTTTCTCTATCTACAGAAGCCAAGAGAATTTCAGGGAAATTTAAAGGCGTTTACGGGAATTCCATTTATTTCCGAGCAGAAGCGAGATCTTCAATAGAATTGAGAGCTTTAGAGAAGCTTCTAGAACATCAAGACAGATCAAAGAATCAAAGGGCAGTTCAAATAATTTTAAAGAAATTGTAGAAACCTTAAAGAAGTTTCGAGAAACTCTGGGAATTTCCGTAAACAAAACTCCGAGAGAATTTCTGGAACGTGATAAAAATTATATGAACATCCGGAAAACGTGTGAGTATTTTAGCACCCTTAATATCATGGTTAATATCATGGATATTTCAAGAACATAAAAAAATGCGAAGATTTAGCTAAGTTGAACGAAGTTCCATTAATTAAAAAAATGCGAGAACTTTTAGCAAGCAGCGATTTCTTCGAGAAATTCCAGAGAGCTTCTCGATGGAGATATTTTTAGATAGTTTCATGATAGTCAGCGAAGTTCCTAGTACTTCGAGGACGATAGCTTCAGAATAATCCCAATAACTTAAGCAAATTTTCAGCGACTTACAATGAGTTCCTTGCAATTATGGGGTGTTCCAAGATTTATATGATTGATTCGAAAACGTCAGAAGCATCAGGGAATTATTAAACAAGTTTAGAGAACTTCAGGTAAACGCAGATAAGTTCAGGGAAATTTATTGAGCGTTTATAATGGTTATATTACTTAAGCAAAATTGTCGAAACTTCAAGGCAAATCAATTAATTTCAGTAATGTTGCGGGTTCTTAAAATATACTGCTGAATTCGGGGCAGTCTAGAGAACTTTTAAGATAGTTTTAATAGGAAAGTCTAGACTATAAAAGAAGTTTTATATTAGTGTCGATAATTTCAGGGAAGTTTCATAAACTTCAGAAAAATATTGAGAACTTCAGTGAAAATCATAAAACTATGTTAATTATTTCGTTCTAGTTGTCTTCAGGAACATTTCAAGAACTTAGAAATCTAGGGAGCTTAAGGGGAGATCCTCGAACTTCAGGAATTTTTATGAAAATGTGGGAGCATTTGAAAGAAGTCTAGTAAGCTCCGAAAATTGGAGGAATTTCAGGGGGAGACCCGTTCCATTAGTTTCAGAAAATTAATGGGAAATTTAAAGCAGTTCCTAGATTTTCAGATAACTTCAGAAACATTTAAAAGTCAATTGAGGTATTCGCATAAGTTCAGCAGTTCACTAAAGCTTAAACATTTTCAGGGCGGTTCAATTAGGTTCAGCGCAGTACAACAAGCTTCATGAGAACTCCAAAAACTTTAGAGCATTTTTGAGAAATTCAGAAATGAACCGAGAACCTCAGAGCAGTTCCGTTAACATTATAGAAGTCATATAAATTTTAAAGAAGTTTAGAGAACTTCAGCGAATTGTCAAACCTTTAGAGGAGATCCATGATCGTTAGAAAAATTGAGGAAACTTTAGGAAGTCCTATAAATTGTAAGCATCAGGCTAGTTTCTCGAACTACAAAACAACTTCAAGGCAGTTTCATTAACATCAGGAAAAAAAAATGGGAACTTTCAAGTAGTTCTGGAGACCTCAGAATAATTCATTTCATATTCAACGGAGATTTCCATTGAAATATTCCTCAAAATTTCAATGAAGCTATCCTCCGGATTTAATTTTCTTTTAGTTTTCCTCGGAATTACCTTGAAATTCTCCACAATAAGAAACCCTTTGGAAAGATTTTCCGAATATTCATTGAATTCATTTCAGATTTCCTTTTGAATCTCACTCCTTCCCTTGGAATTCTACTCACATTTAAAATCTCATAAGAATTCATTTGCATTTCTTCTGACAAATTCCTTAGATTTCTTCTCATAATTTGTTTGGTAAACTCTCCTGAATTTATTTTCCGAATTCCTTTGAAGATGTCCTGGAGTTATGCTCAGATTTAATTGTAATCCTTCTGTTAGTATTTTCAAAAAAAAAATCAAGGACTTATGCTCCGGATTCGTTTTCTCCCACAAACTTTATGAAATTATCCTCAGAATGGTCTTGGAATATTCCTCTGAAGTTCACAGGTTTGTGCTCCTCAGAAATTCCTAAGAGTTTTCATTAAAATTCACTTCTAATTCTTTTCAAGGTTTCTTGAAATTCTACTCAAAACTATCAAAGTTTTTTTTTTCCCAGAACTCCCCTTGGAATGAGGTCCTTAAAAATTATAATAAAATTCCTTGCTGTAAATGGTTTCCTCGTCTACGACGACCGCCGTCAGAATGCAATCTACCTTCTACTGCGAATCATCATGGGAAAACTCTGGTTCCTTCCAGTTGGCATAGAGACGTTTTATTCGTCGGTAGAAGGAATCCTTACTGAGCCTAATATTCGACATTTTCGGGGTCGTTGCGAATGCAAACAAAAACATTCAAGCTGTCAGAAATACCGGGTTGCCAAATATACCATAATACTCGTATTTTACAAAAAAAAACACAGCTTGCTCTATGACCAGCACTGCCGGTACAATCGGCACACTTGAGGCACACTGAGAAAAAGTTGACCCAAGATTGGTGTGCGGAGTGACCTATCCCTTGCGATTTGCAGTTTTCGACAAAGTTGTTTTGTTTAGTATTCTCAATCTCAAGTCCAAGATGTGGTGAAATTTGAGCAATATTTGGATTTTAGCAAACAAATGACTATGATCGTTTTTCCAATCAAACAAATTAAAACTCTCAAACTATTCGAGACTATATCAAAATTCGTTCAAATTTTGCACATTTATTGAGGATCTCAATGCGCATTGAAAGAGCAGTGAGCGAACAACGGGTTGTAAAGTTGACCTACCCTAGTGTGCATGAACGGCTTTTGAATAGCACTAGACCGCATCAGTTGCTATAAACCCATCCGAAATAAATGTCACTACCATTCCCATTACGTTCGTTACTGATCCACATGTTCTCCCATTTTCCCATTTTTTTTCCGTTCACTTACAGCTAACTCTGCTCCGTCCAGCCCACCACAGTCCCCAGTGAAAGCGAACTTGTCGATTGTAAATAACATCACCAACGGATCTGCCAATGCCAACGGACGTAAGTATTGATTGAAACCCAAATAGTAGGTGCATAGGACAATGTTAACGAAATTATTGATCTGAAATTATCGAACAAATCGCGATCGACGTCTTCGATCTGATCTGGTAAAGAGAACTGAAGAAGCTCCTATTGAGCATCATAATATGTTGCGCGTACGCACACGCACACACGGCATGGCAATGTAATCATTATTCATCTTGTGTTCGTCTTCTTGATGATGTTCCTCCGGCATCATTTTTTTCACATTTTTGACATTTGATTTAAAAATTAAGCTGAACAGTTTCCATGATTATGGATTTTTTTTTCTTTTTCGGAATGAGTGGCAGATGGCAAATATGTGAATTATTTTCATTTCGTTCATTGAGAATGCTTAGTTATCTGCTTGTTGACGCTTGTAAACATTTCGGAATTATGCTTGGATTATTATTTATGGTGCATTTGGGTGCTGCACTGTGCAAAGTCACGTCATGATGATAAGGGAAAAGTGCATCAGTACTGTTGAGTTTTTATTTTCAACCCGCCTTGATGGCGCAGTAGGCAGCGCGTAAGTCTCATAATCTTAAGGTCGTGAGTTCGATCCTCACTCGGGGCAGATTTTTTGTATCATCACATTCCGATTTCTCGTATCTTTTGTTCATTGAAGTTCTTATTTCCTTTCCTATCCCTTCTATGCTTTATCTGTACATGTCTTTTCTAAATTGGGACCGCTTTCGCACAAATTCGATGGTTTTTTTTGTTTGTTTTGTTAGTTTCTCTCCTGTGTAAATAATCACGCTAATAAACCTGCTGATTTTGGCAATGCTTCTGGTACGCTTTGTAAATAGTCTACAACGTGAAAGAGTAGAATTTGACATTACCGGAAATTGAAAATAGTAGAATATTAGACGGAATTTTCTCGAAACGATCACTTCGACACCGCTCAAAAGAAAAGAAAATAATACCGGCAAGCCATCAGAAGCATGTGTGTGACATTATTTTTTTGTGTTTTTCTCTTTCTTCTTTTCCGTGTGTACTTACAGCCACATCCACTTCGCCATCAATATCGCCAAGTCCAGAGCAGCCTCATAGCCTGGAAGATACGGAACCATCCTATCAGAACTCGGAAGTCGTGAAATCTACCAGTGCTGCATTGCGATCATCCACCACAACTCCCACCACCATTAATAACATCAACAGCATCAATAATACTGATGCCTCATCGCAGCAAGCTACAGCGGCAGCCAAAACGCCAGAGCCGCCTACTGCTACTACTGCTACTACCACTACTTCTGCTACTACCACCAGCGAGAAAGTAACCACAAATGGTACGGATCATAATCACCATGATGATCACCATCCAAGCAGTCAAACGCAAAATAACACGCCCGACGCTGTTGCTGCCGATTCTACCAGTTCTAGTCCTGCTCCGCCGGCATCGCCGCTACCCGGTGCCAACCCTCTACCGCCTACATTGCCGCCATCACCATCACCCACCACAACGCCCACTACTGCTGGCGCTGCCGTTTCGCAATCAAGTAATACTAATGTAAATAAGCTAAACCCTAGTCTCGGCTACATTACCTATACTAACGCCTACCATCAACACCACTATAACGATCATCAACAGAATCGCCACCCCCATCACCACATAGCTCCATCATCTCTTCATTCATACTTCCACCACCACCACAACCACCATCAACAACAACAACAACTCACTCCCACCACCAATCATCATTCGATCAACGCGGTCGATCCTTCGTCCCTGACGTCGAACTCCTCATCGGCGGAACAACAGCAGCGATCCAGTGCTGGCGCCATCGGTCCAGCGCCCCTACATATCTACAGCAATGTCCCTAACAACATCCAGCTGAATAACATTAACAATAACGTTAACAGTCATTGCTCCATGATCGGTACTACCACTAGCACTACTACCAGTACTCACACCAACAATAATAACAGTAAACTGGAAGAGCTCTATGATATCCCAGTGGGTAAGTGTGGCAATGATGCAAATCACCCGCGTAGTTTGAATTGTGTGGCTGTTTTTTTTTATTAGTTCTGTTGTTAGTAGCTAACACACCTCCTAGTTGTTATTCTGATTCGTTGCACAATTCTAGCTCGATAAGCAATCACTACACTGAAACCGCACAGCGAGACAGCTGATCTCTCTATTGGATCACTCTGGTAACACTTTTCCGATATCTTTTTCCATACTCATACCTCAACACATACACCCACACACACATACACAATACGTTAATGCGCCTAATTGCAGCTCTTTATTTTTGAAAGAAATCTTTGCCTTTGAAGGATAACGTACTTTATTTGTTGAAATACCTACCTATGTATATCAAATTGCTAGCTCTCAAGTATTACTTATTTTTCGCAGCTATCCACTAGGTGAAGGAGATTAGGCTAAAGTTTTGGTATTTTAGATGAAAATAATTCACATTTCCTGAAACGTATGTGGATGGAATTCTTTATGAATCGATTGAAGATGAATTCAAAGCCAATTTTTACCACATCACGAATCTTGGATTCGTTCTGGGTTCGCACAATGATCAAGCGAATGTGGTTTAATAACTAAAAAGACGAAACTACCCGTTGATTCAGAGCAGGTCCACGCCAAATGACGAATCGGAAAAACCGAAGGGTAGGAAAAGACTTCCCCTACCCGATGAGGATGTTGGTTTGCGTGGGTGAGCCTTGAATTGCTAGAACTCATCAAGAGAAGTCATTGTTTACAAAAGCTGTTTGGCCCTAATTCCAGCTCTATCTAGAATTGTGTGTTATGGCAAGGGGTGGTCACTCTACACACATATTTTGCGCCAACATTTTTCTCAGTGTGCCTCAAGTGTGCCGCGCTGTACCAAGAGTGCCATGTCAACGAACTGATTTTTTTTTTGTGAATAATTGTATGTTTGGCAACCCGGTATTTTGACAATTCAAATGTTTTTTTTTGTATATCAAACCGTACGAGCTGTCAGAGACACTGGTCACGTCAACGCCAGATCAATATAATGGGCAGCTCATCAAGAATACTGTAACGGAACCATCATTCTTATCGGCCCAGTTCCGTCTCCCGTATGTCGCAGTGCGATGAAGATTTGATCCACGGAGAGTACAGCAAACATTACACGCTGGTGAGGAACATTGGGAATGCACTCATTGAACATTCTGCACCGGGACATCAAAGATGAGGACGTTATCATCGATCACCATTTCCATATAAGCTGATTGACGGATCGGCGGCGTTCGTACAGAAAGGGCAACTGTTTTCTACCTTCTACGGCACGACCGAGTACTGTAGTCTGGAAGTGTTGGTAGGCAACCGCTACTCCTGCCCTGAACTAGAAATGTGGGCTCTCTTTATGACACTGTACGTGTTGTTGTTCTTCGAGAACCCATTCGTGGACGTTGAGGAAATCCGTTGACAAGAATCTCAAAACTCGCATCACCATCCAGAAGCAACTGGAGGCGGAATGGATGACGCAGGAAATCAATTATTCACAGTTCAATCCAAAAGCGTCCCCTTCTAACCGTACGAAATCAATCCGTAGAAGTGCTACATCGATGCAAATATTTGCTCCAGCCAGGCGGGACTGTCCACGTCGCCGCACAGCCTTTCGATATTGGATGATGTCGATCGGTGAAGATGAGGATGAGCATGTAGCATACAGCGGAGTAGCAGTGATTCTATTTTAATCAATCCTGAACTAGTCCAGGTTGAGCGTTAAATGCTTTCTGGTGATACTGCCGGTTGGTGGTTCTGTTGGTGTGCTGGATAGTTTATCTATGTCTGGAGCTCTACAACAGACAATGTTAGTGAATGTTTAGCTTCAAAATCCGTGAAACATCTGGAAGTCAATACAGAAGTGCATAAACATCACAATTCCGTGGCAGTTTCTGTACTCCTGCGTTTCAAAGATTGATAGTAAAGCAAAACCGGTTATCGTCATAATGTCGGCATCTTCCGTTGCTCCGGTTGCGGATCATAGCAGTAAGGGTGACTTGGAGGCTCCGGCGAAATTATTTGTTGCGGTACCGAAAATTGTTTGTGTCAACAACGAAGTTTTGACACATCCTCAAATAATCCTGAAATAATGCAGTGATGCCAGTTACTTTACAGATCACAAAAAAGTAGAAGGGTCTGTGCCTAGGGGCACGAACGGAAGCTTGACGTAGGATCGCTAGTGGACGGAACAAATGTGAACATTTAGTTCTTTTAATTGATCAATCATCAATTATCTTAACTCTTTCCGTTTTTATTTGTAAGCGTATCAAATTTATAGTATTTCTTTAAAAGAGAAAGTTGATGAAGAGAATCCAAGGGACTGTCAACTTGAGTATTTTCGATTCATCTACCCGACTTTAAAAGGTGTATTTGGATTTTTTTGTTATTAATGCATTTTTAAGTTTTGTGTATTTTGGTATTAAAGTGTATTCAATTCACCCCTCACAGGATTTCCTTCCGAATTATATGAATGGGGCGGGGCGGAAAGTATCGTTTGTGCAGAATATGTAAAAAAGGAGGGAATTTTCTCTCAAATTTGATTTTATTGGCTTTCTGGGGACTGAATATACACCCAAAGCGAATTATTCCCACTTCTCTCAAATTCTATATGGATTTTTAACACTTCCTACCAGCGTGTTCTGGAAAATGGTCGAACGATGATTAACCTCACCAATACATTCCGGCCTACAATTCCACACCTTCTATAGAGACCAGGTTGAGCCTTGATAGCTATCTGCTTGCGGGAACTGCTGACCTTGACAAATGTCCAAATAATACTCTTAACAAATTTATGGTGGTCCTGAAAAGGACCGTTTTGTAGTGATGGTTGAGTAATGCTGAGCTGAGTACGACGAGCTACTGATTCCGATCCTAGCCTAGCGGTGGGACTTCTTCCTCCTTCTCTATGGTTGCTCATATGAGCTCTGCAGCTCGCTGCTTGCAGGCAGCCTCTCGTTGGTTGTTGAAAGCACTCCTGCTGCTGCTGCTGCTGGACTGGACACCACCATTTACGGTGATTGAATGAGCATCGTTCAGTGGGACCGCATCGAATTCGATTTTTAAGTCTGTGTTAGGGAATGCGCTGTTTTCAGACATTCGGTGATAATTTTGATCACCATTGCAACAGTTGGACATTTGGTATTTTTCAATAGTGACCTATTGAAAATTAACTAAGTGTTCATTTTAGCAGATTGGTAGATAAATTTCCAATCGTTTGGCTTATTTAGAATTAAAATCTATCTGCTATTGGTCGAAACCTGACCTCTTTTCGTAATGCTGCGCATTTTGGTTTTTTGAAATTGCGTGGATTCTGTAGATCCTGTGGAGATCTATCTAGCCCTGATGTTTGTGTTGGTAGAGCGAAAAATGTAAACTTTGCGGGAGACGATGTCTTAACACTCGAAAGCAATTTTGTGAAATATGAAGTAAAACAAATCCTAGCTAGTTCTGCATGATGATTTTGTTTGATTTTACTTATTTCTAAAGTCGCCGGGAAATACCCGCTGGCGATTTGTTATTTGTTACTTGAAAACAGGCAAAAACTCACAAACAGGCTGCTTTTTCATGGTATACAGTGTGATAATTCAATAATCAATAAATTATCTCAACATTTAGTGGCAAACCATTCATAAATTTTGGTAACATACAAAAAATTCCACATTAAATTTCATATGTAAGCGCCGATTGAAACAATCTTTTCGACGTCACTACAAGAGTGATTGATTAAACGAAAGAAACGAATCGTGCGGAATGAAAGCCGAGGAAAAACTAATTGCACCAATATATTCAGGCCTACAATTCCACACCTTCTATAGACAGGTTGAGCCTTGATAGCTAGCTGCTTGCGGGAACTGATGACCTTGACCAATGTCCAAATAATACTCTTTAACAAATTTTTGGTGGCCCTGAAAAGGACCGTTTTGTAGTGATGGTTGAGTAATTCTGAGCTGGGTGTTCAACACGGATGAGGCTGTCGAGCTGTATGTCGTTTGGAGCGAGGGTGACACGCTTGGCATAGATGACCGACCCGCAGCGACTCGCAAAGAGCTACTGATTCCGATCCATAGCATAGCGGTGCAGCTTCTTCCTCCTTTGATGGTTGCTTATGGGGGCTCTGCAGCTCGCTGCTTGCAGGCAGCCTTTCGTTGTTACTGGAGAACAATTTTCAACGTCACACGCCGAAAGCACTGCTACTGCTGTTACTTATTTCGACGACCGAACACCACCACACAGTGGTGTGGTCATTGGGAGCGTGTGGTTCTGAGTATGGCGATGAGTGTGCAAAATATTACGCTATTCCATCCTCCCTATTCGCACGCGCCCGAGGATCGGAGGCGAATGCCACTTCGACTTGTTTCGTCTACTTACTACTCTCTGACGGCTGTGCTGGGGAAGCAGCATATGCATGTAGGTAATTGGTGGATTTGGACCAAACCAAAACATTCAAGGTGTTAGAAATATCGGGTTGCCGAGATGGGTCTTTTACAAACAATCGCAGCTTGCTCTATGACCGGTACAATTGGTAGACCTGCGGCACATTGACAAAAATACGGCCCAAGATTGGTGCGACCTACCCCTTGGTGTAAAGAGAGAAAGAAGGATTAGTAATTTCCATTTTAATCCACTACCTTATTTGCTTATCTTTGACTAGGATAGGATAAGCAAATAAGGTAGTGGAATGAAATGGAAATTACTAATCCTTCTCTCTCTCTCTCTCTCTCTCTTTAAACTTCAGGGAAATTTTGATATTTTTTTATAGAAGTTTAATGAGTTCCATGGAAGCATCGACAAATTGTGGAAGCTTCAGGATATATCAAACAACTTCAGAGCAGTTCAATTATGTTCAGGAAAATTGCGTCAACTTTCAAAATCCTCTGAGAAATTCAGGTATAGGGAACTTTATTGAAGTTCATGGCAGTTTTACCAACAATCAATACGAAACTAACGATTTTAAATTGGCTCACTACTTGACTAGCC